ACCCCCCCTCGCCTGGCAGCGATTCCCCCGTCCTGCCGCACAGCCAGATTCCCCAGCTGGCTTTATGCACAGCCAAGAGAAATTGGGAGTCTCTGTTCCCCAAGACCTCCCTGGTGCCCCGTCTCCCTGGGCTGTCACCCTGCTGAGCCCGCTCTTAAAGGCAGCGGATGATTCCTTACCAGGATGCTGGTCCATCCCTTAGCCAGCAACACCCCTTGTCCTCCCGGGGTACAGGCGGAACAGGGTGGGTTCATTACCCTCATGCGGGCTGCGGTGACGAAGCCCAGCGCTGCCCGTCGGGTACCGCCGGGCAGCCCCGACCACGTCACTCCCACACCTTGCCATCCCTTTACTCATTCCTTCGCTCTCCTTTTCACCTCCTGCCTCCGTCCCTGTCCGCTCCCAAATTAATAACCTGCCCTGAATTACTTTCTGCAGTTGGTCCCCCTTTTCCTGCATCTGTACCCAAATCTGGTATTTCTGATGCCTCCATGTTAGCTGAGCTGCAAGCCCGGCTGAACCCCTGGGCGCAGCCTCCTGCCAGGTCCTCGAGTCCCTCCCTCGCCGGCACAGCACATGAGCTTCATCCAAAATCAGGTTTACTGTCACTTGTCACTGGCACTGCAGCACTCGCGCCTTCGGTCCACGGGCGAAACCTCTAGATCTCCCTCCTCTGGAGCCATCTCGAAGGGCACGTTTGGCGGCAGCGCGGCTTTGCGCTGGCGCAGCGTTGCCAGTGCCTGTGGTGTGTGTGGGCAGCGTGGGACAGACAGACGGACGCCCTTCCCACGGCTTTGAACTTTCTTTGGATGCTGCGCCTGCTGCTCGGCCTGCCGACGCGCTGAGCGAAGCGCTGATAATCTTGTGCCTGAAATCCAGTTATCCAAATAGGATTTTCTCCCGCTGGTGACGGTGGGGTTTAATGGAGGGGTTTTGCTCTGCTCACGTTTGTAATCCGGTAGCTCGGGGCGCTCAGCCTGTAATTACATCGGTGCAAATAATCTCTGAACTTGGTGGCGTGGCTGTCGGGGCCCGGGGCTTGGTTCCCGGTGATGGGCGGTGTGTGCCGTGCCGAGCGCCGCGCGTCAGCTGGCGAGACCCCGTGTGAGGGCTGGCTGTGATGTCCTGCTCCCACCTTGTTTTTGGACAGCTTTTCCAGTGCAGGGGAACATGAGCACCGTCCTTTTACAAATGATCCCTGGGGACGGAGGATGTCGTACCCGCTTTTCCAGCCCAGTGTGTCTGCAGGGGCAAAGGGGGACCTGAGAGCGCAGTTACACTGGGATTACTGGGGATCTGGGCTGGGGTGCCGGCACATTCCTGTTTCTCAACCAGGATCCCTGGAGCGCGGGGCCGTGTCCCGGGGTCGCACCACAGCCTTCTCTCACAGCGGTAGTTGCTCAGGTTAAGTTTTTTACAGCTGATGCTTTGCTAACGAGCCTTAGAAAATCCTGGCAGGCGCTCAGCGCACCCCCGCACGCTGCGGGGGCACCTCACGGGAGGTGACCCCGATGCCCAGGAGAATACTGGGTGGTTCAGGTCAGCGCAGTGCAGCATCCCCCAGGCCAAAGCTGGCGCGGAGCTACCGCCTCTCCTAGGAGTCACGCTGCAATGGTCGCGCGCTCGCCGGGGCTCTCCGGTGCTGGTGGCTGTGGCCTCACGGGCTGTTTCTCCTCTCCCCCAGGTGAGCCACCACCCCCCGGCAGCCGCCCATCACGTCTACTCCAAGCGAGGGTGGACGTTGTGGCAGGAAATCACCATCGCCAGCAAGTTCAGGGGCAAATACCTCTCCATCATGCCGTTGGGTAGGTGACTTATGCCGAGAGGATTGGGGTTTGCTTTTTTTCCTGCACTGGTCACGCAGTACCCCGAGGGTTAAAGCAACGTGCCAGTCCCTTGGGCTGACGTAGCGCTCGGTGAATTCCACCCCGAGCGACGCAGGAGCACAGATTTACGCTCCCGATCAGACAACCCTACAGTAACTCGTCTGCCCTGGAAATGGAAATTACGCCAGCTGCAAAGGGGGACTGCTTTGCTCGCCGCTAGCACCACAGCGGACGTGCTTTGGAAATACCCTGCTTGCCCATGCATTGATTCCTTCTTAAATGATATTTAAAGGTTAGCTTGCTGCCTGTTTTAACCCTCTCCCTGGCAACTAGATGCAATAAGCTGCCTCCTTCCAAGATTTTACGTGTCTTCTGCCTGTCCCTGGGCCGGGCAGCACGTCTGGGGCCGGTCCCAGGGCTGCGCTGGTCTCGAGACACGGAGAGTCAGCCAGGCAGCACGTTTCGGACCTGCTTTTGAAGTCCGTGCTTTTGGGGGGTGGGCAGAGGGCCTTGCGGGGGCTGCAGCTGCTTTACTGCAGCAGACCACGGAGCGTGTCGCAAGGGGAGGGGTGACTCCAGACCCTGCCGGGGTTGGGGGCTGATTACAGGAGCAGAGCCAGGTCGGCTCCGGGGATGAGCGTGGGGCCAGCGTGGCAGCGGGCTCCAGGGGAGCGTGCCCACAGCCCGGCCCGGCCGTCTGTCCTCGCTGAGCTGGGGGCTCCCCTCTCTCCGCAGGCGCCATCCACCTCGAGTTTCACTCCAGCGGGAATCACTACGTCTGGAGGAAAGTCACCTCCACCGTGCACAACATCATCGTGGGCAAGCTCTGGATTGACCAGGTCGGTGGCTACGGGTCCGAGGTGATGGGTCCTGCCTGGCCTCCCCTGGCTCCGGGGAAGGGTGGGGGGGCTGGAAGGGCGCTGCCCTCCCGGGGTGTATGCCAGCACTGCCTGGTGTCCCCGCCGTGCTCCTGCTGCGATAGGAAGGTGTGCTTCCCTGGCGGGGACGGGGGGAGGCTTCTTGGAGCTCCTAATGGCTCTTCCCGAGGCCAGCAGCTCCGTGGGACAGGGTGGTCACGCACGTGATGGGTTTTACCCTGCTGCTGGTGAGCTGTGGGGCTGGTGGGGCGGCCGGCGCGGTGGCTGCAGCCAGAAGTGTTGCTGCAGCTGGTGTGGATTTGTACCTGCACGAACTACAACTAACGCCTGATTTGTCTCCTTGCAAAGTCTCTCACTTGCTGTGGTTCTGTGTCTTTCATCTAGTCTGGTGAAATAGAGATTGTTAACCATAAGTCAAAAGATAAATGCCAGCTGAAATTTACCCCCTACAGCTACTTCTCCAGAGACGTCCCCCGGAAGGTACGTATCCGGGTATCTCCTTGCTCCTTCTGGCAGCCTCGCGTGGGGTGAGACGGGGCTTTTCGCTCTAAGCTGGGCTCATGGGGTCCCAGTGCCGCGGCTGGGATGAGCCCCAGCATGGGGCCGAGGAGCTGCGCTGGCACCTCTGACGTGGGTCACCCGGGAGGGCTAGAGGGGACCTGCAAGCCCGCGTTTCGGCTCTGCCTGTGCCAGAGCTGCAGCACTGAGACCTGGAAAGGATTTGTTGGGCTGGAGACCCCCCTGCATGGTCAGGATGGGCCCGCGCTCGCCCCGCGCAGGGCGCAGCAGATGTCCGAGGACGCGCAGCGCCAAGTCCAGCTGCTCCGGTTGGGGCACCTGGAGGGCGTTCTGCCCCCCTGCACCTCTCCCTGTCCTCTGGGCACTTCCAAACGCCACCAGAGCCATCTCCCTTCTGCCAGGTGACAGGAGTGGTGAGCGACGCCGATGGTAAAGCCCACTACGTCATGTCTGGCACGTGGGACGAGAAGATGGAGTGCTCCAAGATAGTGCAGAGCAGCCACGGCAGCACCAGCATGGAGGGCAAGCAGAAAACCGTCTACCAGACGCTGTCTCCAAAGGTCCTGTGGAAGAAGTACCCCCTCCCGTGAGTCCCCTCCTCGGCGCGGGGTGCCGTGCTCGGGGGTGCAACAGCCGGACGGGGATTAACGGGGTCGCCCTGAGCCCCGCGGGATGGAGGGGGCTCCTGTGCCCAGTCCAGGACTTGGGTGGTTCTGTGACGTTTCCCAGGGTGTGAGCACACAGCAGGAGCGAGAGCAGGTCCCTGCAAGGGGAGGGTGGCTTGGGGGAAGCCTTGCAGGTAGGTTTTGGACAGCCAGGGGTACTGGTTAGGTTTTTTGGGCTGCTGGCCATGGCAGGGAGATGTGTTGGCTTCTTTGCCTTGCTGGTGCGTCCCTGACCACCCTGTCCCACTGGTCACCTTAGCTCTCCAGGGACCAACCCTCTCTTGACACCTTACCCACACCGGGGCTGTTCTCAGGCACCAAACCTGCCTCCAACCTTTGGTAGCACCAACGACAGTCCCTGCTGTGGAGATGCTCTGTTGGAATGGTTCCCGGTGGAAAGCGTCCTCCACTTGGTGCCACCAGTTCTGCAGTCGGGGATCCAGCAGCTCTCGGGTGAAGCTGTTTGGTGTCTCGGCTGTGCAGTACAGCACTCGCAGTTCGTAGGCTCGGCTTTTAGCTTCCCCGGGCAGAGCCAGGGGAGGAGGGGCCTCTGCTCCCCTCTGAGACACCCATCGAGGCATCGTCATCGGCATCTCCACTTCGGGGGTGGGAGGAAGAGCTCCCCAAAGGACCTCTGCACTTCTGGTTTGGGGTAGCAGGAGCAGCATCGGTGGGGCTGGGGTGAGACGCAAGGATGCAAAGGGCTGGGGAGCTCTGCTTGAGGTAGGCACCGCCTCCGCTGTCCTGATCGGGGCTCTCCGGCCGCAGGGAGAACGCCGAGAACATGTATTTCTTCTCCGACCTGGCCCTCACGCTGAACGAGCCCGAGGAGCGAGTGGCCCCC